TGTAAAAGGAGGCAGGGCCAAGCTGGATCTTTTAAGGCTCATAATAATGATTTGTTTACTTGCACAATGTGTGTTTCCTAGGTCACACCAGCCTGAGGGGAAAACTGGGATCAGAACCACGGCACAGGCTGTTCTCGCTCTCTCTGCTTTCATCAGCTCTCTCAGAATTGCCAGCCCCTCCTCAAAGACCCTTTCCAGTTTCTGAGGATGCCAGGGAACATTGCACATGCGCTCTCAAACATCCTCATTTTCCTTTCTTTTGCTAAGGCTCCCTGCTGGGATCATTTGCCACTTCCTATGTCTGTGGGCCTCTCAGTACCATGGGACGCCAAGCATGAGTTGCTCCTGGTGGAAAATCCAATGATTTGGGTGATGTCTGAGCCATGGGCCTGAATGGGGACACGGTTGGTCTCATTTCTCTATAGCAGCTCTGGGTGCCAGAACACAGTGTTTAGTCTCATAGCGCCCATAAGCAACACCATGATACCCACCAAACTAGAGAAAACACCCTCTGTTACAGGGATCCCAGGGTAGGTTCTTCTTGTACATGTATGCTCAGGTGTGTCTGATTCTTTGTGACCCCATGGACTGCAGCCCACCAGGTATCTCTGTCCATGGAATTATCCAGGCAAGAATACTGGAGTGGGTTGCTATTGTGCCTCCTGTACTGGCAGATGAATTCTTTACCACTGCTCCACCTGGGAAGCCCAGATTCTTCTTACACCCTCAAAATTACACATGTTCAAGGGCAATGGGTTAAAGAAAAAAAAAAATCAAACTCCATCCAACTTTCATTCATAACCACCTTCTTTTTGTCCAGCCCTCGCTCTTACCCTTGGACCAAGCCTGATGCTCCCTAGCTGGAAGAGAGTTCTTTCTTCCCGAGGAGGCTTCTTGTTTCCCTCATGTGTAGAAGCTCTTGGCAAGACCACAGTCTGTCATCCTGCCCAGAAGTGCCTGCTTCCTAGAGTGGACATATACTTAAGATAAACTCATTTCATTTGAGAGCTTGGCTTTCCACATATCGGAAGTCACAGGTTCAGAATTCAAGTCCCACTGCAACAACGGCAGTGATGATGGCGATGAGAGATCATCCCCATATATCAGACCCCATGCTGAGCACTTTAAACACATTATTGTCTCTCATTCTCTCCACAACTTTACCTGTGGGACTTCCCTGGTGGTCTAGTGGCTCTACGCTCCCAGTGCAGGGGACCTGGGTTCCATCACTGGTCAGAGAACTAGATCCTGCATGCTACAACTAAAGATCCCGAGGGCCACAACTAAGACCTGGTGCAGCCAAATAAATAAATTAAATATATTTTTTAAAAAACCAACTTTATATGATATGCAGTATTAAATACACCCCCCCCCCATTTTACTGGGGAGTAAAACTGGCCTAGAAAGCTGAAATAGCTAGCCCATGGTCACGTGGCTGGCCAAGTGCAGAGCCAGCCCTGGAGCCCCTCAGCTACTGCTCCAGAGCTGGGACCGGGCAGGGAGCCGGCCTTGGCCAGGCCTCCCCCACCTTCCTGGGCCTCCTTCCAGCTCTGCTTTCATCCTTTCTAGGCACCTCTCCCAAGGCGCCCCCGTCATGCACAGGTGGGCTGCCAAAACTTATATAAACTTCCAAGCTGGAGGAAACCCCTCTTGGGGAGGGAAGCATCTACCCTCCCACTTCCCATCCCCTCTCGGTGTCCTACCAAGGCTTCCCGGAGGAGGGCAGGGAAGCTTGGTCAGCAGTAGGAGCTCCCCCCCCCACCCCCAGGCCCCTCAAGACGCCACTCTTGCAACAACCTGCCCTCCTCTCACTAGCTCCCTCTAAGGAGGGAACCAATTCTGGCGCCTGGAATGGTTCCTCCTCCCTAAAGGAATACCAGTTATCTGTATTACACAGTTCAGTTGGTGCCTCTTCTCGGTGGGTGTTTTAATTGAATGGGGAATTCAAGTCTGAGCTTTAAATGCCATACAAAAAGAAAAAGTTACTGTCTTTTCAGAATGCCCATTGTCATTTGTCCTTAGAACACCCCCCTCACCCCCCGATATGGTCCTTTTTCCACTTGAACTGACAAACTGAACTGCCAGATAAATACAGCTGTGAAGTGAAGTTATGGCAGTGCTTTCTTTCCCTCATTCATTTGCCCTCCCGGCTTAACCAAGTCAGACATGAAAGACTGCTCATCCTTTCACATCTACAGAGTACAGAGCCAGGGACTGATCGAGCCATCTTGATAGTTTGATACATTTGAAAGTGAAACGGAGGGAGGGAAGGATCCTGTTTCGCCACAAAAGAAAGAAAGAAAGTGTAGTCGTTCAGTCGTGTCTGACTCTCTGTGACCCTATGGACTTTAGCCTACCAGGCTCCTTTATCTATGGAATTCTCCAGGCAAGAATACTGGAGTGGTTTCCCATTTCCTCCTCCAGGGAATTTCTCCCAACCCAGGGATTGAACCTGGGTCTCCTGCATTGCAGGCAGATTCTTTACCATCTGAGCCATGCCTACAGGGATCAGTTTAACTAAATATCTGCCAGAGGGTCACCCCACACAGAGTGGTGTTCCTGCCACTCATCGTCCTTGTGACCCCTCAGGACCTCAGTCTCCCCATGCAGGGATTGGAGCTAAGAACTCTGAGGTCCCGGAAAGTTCTCAGGGTCTTTATTGCTACCAAATGCATCACTTACAAGTCAGAGAACTTAGGGTGTAGGTGATTGTTTGACTAAAAACCATCTTTCATAACAATTTTTGCCACATAATTATTCCACGCAGCAAGTTTCCACTCTGCACTTGAAGCAGGATTCAGTCTACAAAAATCTGACTTGCAGCCAACTTTTCAGTGACACTTTTACTGTTTCCAGTGGGGCTTGTCCCCTGGGTCACCGTTTTTAAAATCACTGTGATAAACTCCCCCTCTCCATGGAGCCTGGACAGGGAAGCAAGAGTAAGATGCATTCCAAAATCATTACTTCTAATTGACTTGGTTTTTTCTTTTCTTGTTTTGTGGAAAGAAAAAAAACAAAAAACCATATTTACATGTGTCCCTCCACCACCCCCACCCCCCACCCCCAAACTGGTTTAATGAAAGCAACCTACAGGTCCTTTAGAAACACAAACCAGATTCTATCCCTTGTCTGCCTAGAACTCTGCAGAGGCATCCGCGGTCCTCTGGGTGGTGGCCAGGCCTTCGCAGATGCTGCCTGCTCACCTGGGATGCTCCCACCAACACTGTCCATCATCCCCCTTACCCGGCAACTCAGCTCCATCATTGCCTTGGGAGTTGTCCCTGACCGCCTTCATGATAACTCTGAGGAGTCATTTGGAATTTCTTGGGATGAGCATGTCTCAACCATGGGGAACCTCCATGCTCTCTGGCTGTTCATGAGGGCACGTTGGTTGTACATGGAGGTGTGCACGGATTCCCTCCTGTATCTCTCCCTTCATGGAGTCTGCAGTCTTCTGGGTAAACAGACAGCAGTCAAATAGGGGAATGACCGTGACTGCCACAGCCCTCCCTTCACAGAGCTTACAGAGAAGTAAATGAGGGATTTGTGCTCTCTACGATGAGAAGGAACGGGTGGACTGTCAATGACTCAAGCTCTGTGTAGGATGAGTTGAGGTCATGATTGCACCTTGGCTTACACAGTCCATGTACTCCTTTCAGTCTGAAAAGCTGAGACAAAAAGGATGGTGGACTGACATCCCTGACCAGCTATGCTAGCTTAAGGGATGATTGCCCACCACGTGGAAAGAAGCCCAAGCATCTATTCCTTACCCTAAGTGCCTCCCCGGGCACAAAGATAATACCTCCCTGCCCCAGAGCCTGGGCTCTTGTTTAAATGAATTTCCTTCTCCAAGGGTGCCTCCTCTTTCCTATCATGTGGGACAGTGGCATCCTATCATTTGGATTTAATGTTTGCAATATATATGGAACATCTGTACTGTCACACCCATTGTACAGATCCAGAGACACCATCAGCTAGTTCACAGCAGAATTGGACCCTCAAAAGCCGGGTCTTTGGCTCGTCGGCTGGCATTTTCCCCACCGTGTCTCAGCCTCCCAGGCACAGCCAGACCTTTTACGAGAGCCCTGGAAGCCCAAGTTGGCTGCCTCCTGCTGGCAGGGACTTCCTTCCAGGCTTCTGGTTCTAGTGCTGAAGAAGGGGGGATGAGAGGTGAGGAGGGGGTGTTAAGACACAGAGGCAGTCAGTGTTTCTGTCTCCCTCCTTCACACGGGAGGAGGGAATGGCTCACGTGGGGGAGGGTGGATTATGAAAATCAATAATTTATGACAGTGAAGTGTCAGAAAAGTATTTACTCACATTCATTCCCTGAAAGTCACATTCTCCATGTGTTGTTTGTCTTTCAGCGATGGCATCAGTCAGGTGGACTCAGCAAGAAATACCAAGGTTTTTAGCCAAAGGTTGCAGAGGGAGAGTTTCATTTCACTTCATTTTTCCAGCCAGGGCTGGCTCCGAAGCTGGTTTTTCTTACTAGGTTGTTTGCCACACGGAAAAGCAAATTCCCAGAGGTTTCCGAGATTGCTGAGATCCCAGGCAAGATGACTGCTCCCACCCACCCGCCCACCCACCCACTAATAAGACATAATGCCGTCCTATTTTTGGTAACAATTAAAGGGCCTCCCGGTGCAAGCAGAAAGCTGTTTATTCTCTGTTACATCACTTCGCTTTGCCTTCGAAGGCTGGTCTGTGCTCTGTGTTTTCGTGGTGATGCAAGTCTGCTCTCTCCTCCAGCCGTTGGGTCCCTCCCATCTCGCAGCACCTCACAGGTCTCTTCCCCAGCAGTGCCTCGCTGGAGCCAGGAGCGGCTCACGAATCAGCTGCAGGTCCCTGTTTTGAAAAGCAGAGAGACAGAGGCAAAGGAAAAGGGTGGACTCTTATGTGACCTGATCTTAGAGCAAGACAATCACCATCTGAATTCCAGAAGCCCTGTTCATGTTTGGGGATATTTTTTCGACTGCATGGAATCAGAGAGAAGCCAAAGGATGGGAAATGCCTGCATCCCCCTGAAAAGAATTGCTTATTGCCTATGTCTCTTATCTGCGCTTCTGCTGACTGAGGGGAAGAAACCAGCAAAGCCAAAATGCCCTGCCGTGTGTACTTGTACCAAAGATAATGCCTTATGTGAGAATGCCAGATCCATTCCACGCACCGTTCCTCCTGACGTTATCTCACTGTAAGGCCCGTAAGCATTTTGATATCTAATTTACGATTTTAAAATTCCAGCCGATGTATTTGGGGCTTTGTATGTATTGGTAAAAGGGCATGGGGAGAGAGATTCCTCTGGCATGCCTGGCCGTTTGACAGAGCTAACATTTTGCTGCATTTAGAAATTTTGATTCTTATTAGCTGCTACAGAACATGCTTAGATATCTTCCACTCCCCGAACATTATTATGAGAAACCTGCAGCAGATTCATGTCTCCTACTTCAGCTGGCAAGGCACAGTATCATACTTCATAAAATAGTGTCAAATAGTGACTGTTTTGCTAAACCGGATTAACATAAGGTTTGTTCTGTGTTCTGTGTGTGTCTCTTTGTGTGTGTCTGTTTGTTGTTTTGTTTTCTTTCAGATCCTTTGTGAGATCTGGTTTTACTGAAATCTCCGAAGGGAGTTTTTTATTCACACCATCGCTGCAGCTCTTGTGAGAAATATTTATATCATGACTATTTTTAATATAGCATATATTTAGATAAGCCCTCTAGTGAAATTATCTCAATATTAATTTTGTCAAATGTGATTATATTTCTGGAGAGGAAAAGAATTATCAATAAAGTGAGAGGTAGATGGGCTTGTTTGCGACCTGACACCAATGGTGCAGGTTGATGCTTGCAATGGTAAATTTGCTAACCTGTAATGCCGGCTACTTTCATGGCTATTTGTGAAGTTGTTGGAATGTTGTAACAGTGATCCTCACTTCATTCTCCCCTTTTACTTTCATTTTTGACTTGGGAACTTTGGTTATTTTACCCTGGAGTTTCTGAATTAGTCAATACAGAACCCAGCATAACATATGCACTCAAGATGTTGTCCTGGGGGACCTGGGGCAGGCTGCTACTCTGTATGATTTACCATGTGGGGAAGAAAAATCTCAGTTCTTTCTAGGTAATTCCTTAAAATATTCATTCTTGAGTGACTGCTTTCTAATCTCACCTGATTTATAACTCATCTCCTTATAAGGAGGGAAAGAAAATATTAATATAGGATAGTGCAAAGAATTAGTCTTTGCTGTGTGTTTTGAGATAGCCATGAGGGAACCACATATTCAATCTATGTCTGAAAAGAGTCAAAAAATAATATTTGACTAAGAAATCAGATCTTTCCACAGGCATAATGTAACATGGATAACTTGTTCTCATATGTAATGTTTGGCAGTTGGAGTACTAGTTCTCAGAGCAGGACCGCACAGGGGACAAGAGGTCCCCTGATGCTCAGGTGTCAGGCCACAGAGTGGCTTGTCATTACCGGTTCCGGGGCGGGGGGGGGGGGGGGCGGAATCAGCCAATTGTCCATCAACTGAGTTGTGGTTATCTTAACTGTATGATCCAGGACTCAAGTTTTTTTTGCTTGTTTGTTTTAGGGTTTTTGTTTTCTTACCTTACTTGGCCATTTTGGCTATTTGAAGTTTTACATACAGAGAGGCAAATAGCATGGATTTGAAATGAGAGAGACCCGTATGTAAATCTCACTCCACCACTCCCTAGAAGCTAGACATGTAATTGTGTGCAAATGACTAAATCTCTCTGAGCCTCAGTCTTCTCATCTGTAAAATGGAGGTGATGACACTTTGAAAGGTTGTTATCAGAAATAAATGAGATTTCAGTAGATAAAATGCTTGGCGTAGGATATGACAAGTGGTTACACATTTTATAAATGGTAGGGTTTTAACTTTTTACATGAAACTAAAAAAGTTAGAAAAATCACTTAATCTATTGTTTTGTCTATATGAAATCCCCAAACTGATTTGATTATTCAAGTGTTTTGACATTATGTAATAATGTTAACTAATGTCCTTCTCCTAGCTAATGTCTTTGAATGATTAACAATTGAGTAGAATATTCCTAAGTGATTTATCTGTTTGACTGACAGCAAATAGTTGATTAGGGCAACGAACAAATTAGTTTGTTTAGTACATCAAACAAATTCAAACAGGAGGCAAAGTCGTCAATGCTGGGATCCTTTCATAGGCTAGATAAGAACTGGTTGTATGTGAGAAAGTGATCAATTGTGACTGTGTTATTATTTGTCAAATACATACAAGGCTCATTTTAAAAGCATCCTTTTGATGGACTAAGGCACTTCTCTCTCCCCAGGATAATTAAATAGATCAGTCCTTAAAATTCAAGAAGTGTCATTTGACACACACTACTAACATTGGACGGTTGTTAGTTGTGCCACAGAACACCTGGATTGATCAGCCCCATCAGTTAGCATCTCTCCACTTTGTTTCCCCTGGGTGGACCCAGCCTCAGCAAGCACAGATGCTGGACAATGTTATAGAAATAGTTACCGGCTGCTGCAGGGTAATGTGATGACACGTATTTAGAATCACAGAGGGAAGCCAGGGAACTGGTTTTAAATAGCCCGCACCGAGTGTGTGTGCCATGCCCCTGCGTTCCATGCTTCGAGTTCCTATGGAACATTCCAACCCTTATTTCTAAAAGCAGCTCAGGTTTCAGAAATAACAAAAGGGCGAGTAATTCTTGCCCTGGATGTCCTTACTTAACTCACATTGGCTAAACTCAACATGGCAGGGGTCAAAGTTTGTCTCTAATCGCCAGGACTCTGTTTCCTAGAGATTTTGCTCCCCATTCTTCCTGTCCAATGTTCTCTGTTTCCTCCTGTCCTTGGGAAAGGGCCTAATAAGTGCATTTTCACTGAGGAGGAAATAAATGAAAAGGCTCCAAGTATGAATAATGCCATAATCATAACAGTGGTGGGAATGCATACTTCACAGACATAAAGAGTTCTTTTGTGGGATGGCGCCATCCAGTGCCCTGAAAACTCCCCACTGGAACACGAAGACCCAGGGGTCTGATTTGCCTTTGCATGACCTTTGCCATCAGACCAGACCTGGATCACACCAGCCATTGCTTGGGGTTTGCAATGGATTCTAATAGCATTTGCGACCGTGGATTACAAAACAGACCTGTCATAGTTTGTGAAAAGATAAGCTTCTGAATCAATTCTGCTCCATTGATGTCCAAAGGCAGTTGGTTTCATGCTCAGTTGTGGAAAAAGAAAAGGCCCATTCCCATCACCTACCCTAAAAGTCTGACAATTTCATTATGGCCCCAAATGCTTTTTCAGACCTTCTGCAGAAGTCATGATGAAAAGTACTTTGTGAAATGTCAGGCTGGGGTACTGAGGGAGACAGACGTAATGCCTCCTTAAGTTACATGTTCTGGGGGAGAAGATCCTGGTAGGCTGTGGCTGGCAATGTGTGTCAGAGAACAAGAAAAACAAAAGCCCACACTCTGTAGAGAGGAGAGAAAGAATAAAATTATCCAATGAAATTTCATCAGATTAATTATATGAGCCTATTTTTAAAAACACCTATGGTTTTAAACAACAGCAAAGAAAAAAAAAATCTTTCCCCAGCAAATGTAATTTCATTCATGTTATCCATAGGCCTGCTGTGAAACTTAACCAATGGGAATGATTATTCATTCTAGTTTGCTTTCAGTGAGAGGGAGTGGTACTTGTAGTGAATGGAATTTACAGAAATGTGTTTTCACACTGGACAGCCCTGTTCTTCTCAACCACAGACTAAAATCCCCAATGATATGGGCTCATTACAGAAGTAAAATTCAAATTTAAAAGTATAAAATGTGGACACATTGCCATTTATTCATAAAAGTTTTGATTAAAGCTATCTAGTAGAACTCTTCAGAGAGTTCTATTTGCAGGAAGTAACAGGGTTCGGTTAGTATCACGCACACACACAAAATCTTGATATAAGAATTCAGGGTAGCTGGAAAAATTTCTATTTATTCCAATGAGGTCTGATCTTGTTTGAAGCAATAGAACTGATCCCTTGGCAGGGCCGGGGTAGGGGGGAGGATATAATCATTTCTTTTATTAATCTACAATCAACACATAAATATATAGTTCATAAGAAATCAAAGACCAAAAAACCAAGAAGTAAACAGCATGAACAAGACAGATAATAAGTCCATCCTTGCTATAATTTTATCAGTTAGTTCTTCAAAATATTATTTGTCCAGGGGAAAGTATCCATAGCCTATATCACCTTCACAGTGATTGACCTCTTTATTTATTCCATGACAAGCGTTAAGAAACATTTTGTGACCTTCAATGACTACTCAAGCCAAACCTATCAGCTAAGAGGGCTTCTAGAGGAATTACTTACTGCTTGTGGATGAGTATGTTTTGGTTTGTGCCCAGGTGATGGCCTACAATGGACCAAGAAGTAAACGTTTCAATCATCTGGGCTGTTTTGTCTACAGTCCGACCAGTGACCCATAGCTCTGATTTTTAACTTCTTAATGAATTGTTGTGACTGTGCACACAGCCCTGTATAACAAATGTTTTCTCTGAAAGTGTATTTCATCTTCTCAGTTATTCAACCAGGAAAGTTAGGAGTTACCTCTTCAGGTCCACTTTCAACAGGAAAAGTCCCCCCATCAAACCGCATAAGAATCTGCCATCTCCTCTTGACCCTAGGGCCATGATCCTAACTGAGGCTGCAGTCACTGTTCCACAGGCTGCTGGGGGAGGTTTTACACTGGTCCCCCTGCTTCTGGATCCCATTCCTCCCCACCTCCATTAGCATTACCTTCCTGAAGTGCAGATCTCATCCTGATACCCTCATGCTTGGGAGCCTTTAATGGTTCCCTAGAAACAGAGAAACATCTGAACATCTGAGTTGGTATTAACAGAATTTGGCTATTTGTCTAGGGTCATCTCTCATAGTAGCAATAGCACACACACACACATGTGCACACACACACATACACCACAAGCTCCATCCATGCCAGCCTGAAGTACCTCATTCCCTGACCTCTATTTTCTCAAGTTCTATAGACTTTTCTGATGTTTCTAATTCTTCCCATCATTTTTAGAGCTATTTGTATCTGCCCTTGTCTCTAACAGAGGGTTCTCAATAGCCATGGTCCTAGAAAGGATGTTATAAGCTTAGATTAAGATTTTGCTTACTATGTATTTGTTGAATTCAATCCATATTTTCATAGATTTTATACTAGAGACTTCTGTCTTCCTATCAGTAGTTTCAGTCATGTTCACACTTCCTTTTGTTTGATATACGTGATCTGATTTCACACGAGCCAATAGTGTGGAGGTCTGGAATGTGCGCTGAACCAAAAGAAAGTGTGAAGAGGTATTTGCTCATGACCTTATGATGTCAGACTTCTTCAACAGATGTTTCCAGTGTACCAGAACTTAAAAGGAAAAGCATACAGAATCTTTCTTTAGACCCACTGCCTGGATCCCTTTTGTCTCCCTCTGATTTCCTCTAGGTCTTTGACAAGCACAAACTCTTATTTGCCACTCCAGTTATCTCTCAGGTTTGACTAGCCTCTCTCCTGTGAAAGGTCAGACTCCCCCTTTATCCAGTCTGACAGGACATCCAAAGAAAGATGCTAATTAAGCATTATTAAGATG